CTTTTTCTTATAGAAATTCGGATTCTCTGCTTCGTCGCTGAACAAATAGCGCATTGTATTGGTGATCAATTGGTAATTCGCTTTGCGTATCTGTTTCAATGTTCGACATTTTTGTGGTGTTTTGGCGCGTGATGTGCTCGCAACCGGCTTATTTGATTTCGGATGGTTTGCCAATTCTTCGGAAATCACACAATGATTCAAATATGCCCGAACATTATTATACAGACTACGTATGATGCACATCATGAAATTCATATGGTATTGCTTAGATGCATTGGTGAAAATGTTACCATAACCAATTGGATTTTTCTCAACGACTTTGTGCTTCCGACAGAACTTGCTTATAGTTTTATCCAATTTCCATGTTTTTCGCAATTTTGTCTGGCCATTGATACAATTACCATACACACCACGAAAATAACCATCAAAATAATTACGATAGTATTCACACGTAGTATTCCAAAATTCGGTACGAATGGCATCTTTATTGTTCGATTGTATGATTCGCATGAGGCTACAGTGTACGTTGAGTGCGCCAAGTCGCCAATTGTGACTCATGTCCGTGACAATTTTATTGATAATGCTAGACAATTCATCCTTATTCACTAGATTTTCATTGAACGACTTACGTTTGCCCATTTTGATCGATTGGAATCTTTCTGAATCCTCATCACCATCGTCGCCATCGTCACCATCATCGTCATCGCTGACATTCACATTATTCGATGTATTCGGCATACTGGTGGCACGAGTTGTTCGTTTCTTTGGTGCCGGCTTTGGTTTCGATGTTGGCACATTACTAGTCGATTTTGTTCGTTTTGCACGTTTACTTCGTGCGACTGTGGTAGATGGTTCATCGTTTTGATCATCGGTTGGTGCATCGGCAATATTAAATTCATGCCGTAGCCGTTGTAAGGCATTGACATGACATTGTTCAAATTTTTTCACCAAATCTTCGACCTTCCGCTTAATGTGTGATGATATTCTTATATTATTGATATTCTGGATAAATTGTTTCAAGTGTGTGCCCAATTCATTTGCAACTGCTTCAACTGCTTCAACTATAGAGAGACATTGCCAAAGATGAGAAAAATGCATTGAATTTTTAAAATAGTCTCAATGTTTTACCGTTTCGTTGCTGTATAACTGAAACACTATTTGGGATGCTTTGTGGTCCATCCAATGTATGTGAGCGCAGCTCTGTGCGACGATGAACAACAGACTCATTGATTGATTGTGTTGGCTGCGAGCCCACCGATTGCGAGCGAATTGCACGTCGTTGTGGTACGACTGAGGCCGGTGTTTGTGGCTGCTGCTGTTGTTTAAGCCGTCTTCTTTTGGCCGCCAACGTTTCA